AGCTTTCACAGCCAAATCAACATACTCAATGTCTGCAGCTGAAACTCTGTTGATCACATCCCCTGTTCTTGGATCCATTGTTTCCATCGTTTTCCCTGCCAATCTCGTTGTTTTCTTATAAAATAAAAATACTTGGAATGGATATTTCCTCAAACAAAATGGTAGGCAGCTTACCTGAAATGGAATCCACGAAATGGCCGTTTATAAAGAGTTTGGTGAATCTGATTGGTGGGAAGTTGGAACTTCCATTGCTGTGATTTGCCATCTCCAACTTCTCTTGCTTAGATCTTTCAGCCTCAACTTAAGCTCCTTTGCTTGTTTACTGCTTTTAATGAGTAGGGAGGGGCGGCATTTGACCAGACATGCACATGTCAACACTTGTAATATGTTATTATATAAATACTAATAACTTCTCCTCTACAACTAAGATTCCTTAATCAAAACACGGAAGGCAACATGTGATTGCTCTATACTAACTTGCCCTCAAAAGTCTCACATTCCAACTTATTGTGTTGAAGTTTATTATATTTTTTTATAGTCAATATTCGATTTACAGATCATTTTAATTTAAATCAATTATTATAAAAATAAATTTAAACTTAAAATGATAGTATTAATTAATTAGGTTTCTGTTCAAAAAATAATTAAGTAGATTAACTAATAATATTATAAAGTAGACGATCAAAATAACCTATTGAGATTAAATCCCAAATTTAAACATGGTTCAAAAATAAAATAAAAATTATAATATCATTAATTATTTCAAATAATTAATAATAAAAATTAATTAATAAACAATGAACAAATAAATTGTAAATAGGTGTATTTATTATTTTTAGATGTAAATAATCATAAATAAAATAAAGACACAAATGATTTCTTAAAGGAAGCATAAATTGTTGGAAGCTTGGTAGGCATTCAATAAACTTATAACTCGTATAATATTATTAATACAATCAAACTACGATAAAACCACGTATTATTAGTTTCGGTTAATTTACAGACACTTACGAACAAAGCTTTGCTAAGCTTCACTCTATCTAGCTTTTCTAAGCTTCACTTCTTGTCTCTCGGTTTTGTACTCATTCATACATATACATCAACCAAAGCTACTACACATATTTATAGGTAAGATAAACCACCTCGTCAAACTGCCACCTTATCTCCTTCATTATTAAGCATCCAAATGTTACTTGCTACAATTATATTCTATGGTGCTGCCACCATCAAATGTTACTTGTTGTCAACTCAAAAGAATCAAGTTTGATTCTAACACTCCCCTTCAAACTTGATATACCATTCCGAGTTTTTTCCATTTATCATCTTCAATCGATTCTTCATTTGTTATGAGATCACTCTTTGAAAAGAGCCTGAAAAGTGAAAATAATCGTTGTACCTCTTTAGTATCCTTCTTCCCTCGTAGATCTTCGAAATTTTGTGGGAGATACTTTAGGATTTTCTTGTCCATTACTATCATAGTTGTTGCTTATTAATGGTGATGCAATTGAATTTTGTTGAGGACCTTAATCATTATCTTTCTCATCTTGATTGATAAGATCTTCATCGTCTTTATCTTTATTAAAAAATAGTTCTTCAACTTTCTTTTTTTTTCCCCTCTATTTTCAGTATTTTGCCTCATCGAATTCGACATCTCTTGAAATTATTATCTTATTTGTAAGGAATATAGAGTTTATAAGCTTTGCTTCTTTCATCATAGCCAATGAAAATACATTTCTCTCCTCTTTATCATCGAGTTTCTTTCTTTTTTGCTCAGGAACGTGGGCATATGTGATGCACCAAAAATTTTGAGATGTCCAACTCTTGGTTTCTAACTGCTCCATGCTTCATTTTGTGTCATATACTTCACACTTTTGGTTGGACATCGATTCAACAGGTAGATTGCACATCGAACAGCTTCGGCCCAGAAATTTCTCGATAGATGCTTACCTTTTATCATGCTCCTCACCATGTCAATGATTGTGTGATTCTTTCTCTCAGCTGCTCCATTTTGTTGAGGCGTGTATCTAACTGTCAGTTAATGGATAATTTCATGCTCTTTGCAGAAGTCTTCAAATAAATTTGATGTATACTCGCCTCCTTTATCAAATCTAAGTATCTTTAAATATTTTCCACTTTGCTTTTTCTACCATTGCTTTGAATTCTTTCAATTTCTTTAGTACTTCAGGCTTTTCTTTCAGGGTATATATCCAACTTTTTCGACTAAAATCATCAATAAAAGTTAAATAGTACTTGTTACCTCCAAGTGATGGTATGTCAAAAGGACCATATATATCTGTGTGCATAATCTCCAACTGCTTTCGGGCTTGTCAGGGTCTACTAACTTCAAAGCTTTGTCTGTGTTGCTTTCCTTTAATGCAAGCTTCATATAGTTGATTCGGAGGGTTGATATATGGTAGTCCTTTCACCATATTTTCTTTCGATAACATCTTTAGGCTTAAAAACCAAGATGTCTATAACGTAGATATCACAACCATGAATCATCTTTGATTATTTTCTTCATGCACTTAACTTCTTCTGACTCGATGTCAATGGTAAAGAGATGATTTTGAGTCATACAACTTGGGAAATTAATTTTCTATCTTTATTTTTTATGGCAAGGGAGTGATTCCTCATCTCAACTTCAAATCTTTTTTTTCAAGAGTTGACCAAGGCTGATAATGTTGCTTTTTAAAGTCGGTACATAATACACATTTGAGATGTATTTCTTTTCACAATTCTTTTGTGTAATCATAACTTCACCTTTGCCTTTTACTTAAGCGTGTGAGTCATCTCCAAAAGTTACTCGACCATAGACGACTTCATCTAACTTCACGAACAGTTCCTTTCGACCACACATATGATTGCTAGCACAATTATCAAGATACCAAATATTTTTCTTAACTTCTCTATTTCCTTTGTGAGTTAGGAAAACATGAGATTTTTCAATATTTTCTTCTTTAGCTGATACTACATTATTTCTTTCTTCTTGTTTGGGAGTTGATTTACACTCGTAACTAAAATGACTATATTTATTGCAGTTATAGCATTGTACCTGAGATTTATTTCCCTGTTGATATTTGCCTTGGCCTCGGCCTCTAAATCCTCTTCCACAGCCTGATGTCTGATTGTTTTCATTTGTCTAAGTGGTACCATATGATTGACCACCACATCCACGTGCTCCTCTTCCACCTATAAATCTTCCATGATAACCACCACGGCCTTATGTGTAGCTGCTACTAGTTTCACCTTCATGAATATTAAGCTTGCTTTGTAGAGCTTGCTCTAAATTTTCAGAATCTTCATTTTGCATCATCTTTTGCTCATGGGCTTGGAGTGAACCCACAAGCTCATTGATCGATATTTAGGATAAATCTTTCGATTCTTCGATTGCTACGACCACGTAGTCAAATTTTCGTGTTAATGACCATAAAATCTTTTCCATCACTCTAATATCGTCGAGTGATTCTCCATTCCTTTTCATTTTGTTTACTACCCCTTTCACACAATAGAATCATCAATACATTCTGAATTTTCCATTTTCAACATTTCAAACTCTGCTCTAAGTTATTGTAATCGTAATTTTTTTCCTTTTCGACACCTTGGAGCAATTTTTGCAAAATCTCTCACACTTGTTTTGCGGTCTTCGCATCAGATATTTTTTCAAATGTTGATTCTTCAACACCTTGAAAAACAGAAAACAACGCCCTCTTGTCTTTCTTGCGAGATCCCTTCAGTGCCCGTTTTTCTTCATTAGTCAAGGCTACTTTTGTTGCTGGATTCTCGGGCTCAATGTGCCCTTCTTCAACAATATTCCAACAATCCTGTCTTTGTCTTTGTCTGAATGCTCCAATTGCCATAGTTTGTCTTTGTCAATCTTGGGATTTGGGTTGAATCATGTTAGCCATCTTCACCATCACGTAAACTCAAACCAATCTCAAATTAAACTTTGATACCACTTGTTGAAAGCGTTGGTGGATACTCAATAAACCTATAACTCGTATAATATTACTAATACAATCAAACTATAATACAACCACGTATCACTAGCTTCAACTAATTTACAAACACTTACAAACAAAGCATTGCTGCTGACTTCTTGTCAGAATCAAGTTTGATTCTAACATAAATAATAGGAGTATTGTTTGGAAGTGAACAAATTTTATTCGCACTGGGGTTGATAAAATGCATACGGATTGTGAATGGAGGGTGTCTTAAAAAATAGATGGGATGACGACACATTATAATGAATCATTCATTTATATAAGGATAAACTATACAAATAGTCTTTTATGTTTTTGGCTTGACTAATTTTGGTCTTCAATTTAAAAATTAAGTAAAAATGATCCCTAAAGTTAGCGATCCATTCAATTTTAATCCCTCAGCTATTAATTTTCGTCAACCCTTTTGTTAAGTCCCTAATAATGCTAAGATACTAAAATCGAACGGGAGTTAACGATCAAATGACTAAAATCGAACGAATCGATAATGTTAGAGACTATAATCAAACAAATCGATAACGTTAAAGACTATTCTCCTTTAATTTTTAAATTGGTATCAAAGTTGATCAAACCGAAAACATAAAGAATTATTGGCCGTCCTTTTCTCCTCAACCACAGCTTTAAGCAACACATGTTTCATATTTGGATTTTTAAACAGGTAATTGTTTAAACATGAGGTGAAGAGAAGCAAGTATTTGGGGCGAAAACCGCATTTTGATACAACTAGGAACGAGGGTAGAGGTCCAACATGTAAAAGAAGCTCATCCATCAACCATTACAATTTCATTCTTGCAATTTGCAATATGATGCTTTCTATCTATAAGCATGCATAAGAAATGAAATAATTGCAAGAAAACATATATGGGAACATCCCAACATACGATAAGGCAACTGCATACTGTTTTCAGGAATATGAACCAATTCTTGCTTAAACTTCCAATGAGTTAAAAGATAGGAGTACAAGAAAATGAATGGCTTCAACGAAACCAATGTGGCTCACACAACAAGGTTCCACACTTATTGGGTACTTGAAGAGGGTTGGTACCCACTAGAACCGTAGTCATATGCTCCATAACTAGTCTGACTCCCATAACCACTGCTGGTCGCATAACCAGAAACACCCAAATTTTCCACTGGGTGCGAGTAGTGCTGTTGAGTAACTGCCGCAGGACTTTGAGTGTGGGTCACACCATATGCTGCTGATGCATAAGCAGTAGGAGCCTCATAAACATTCTGCCCAACATAGTTATATTGCCCAGAATATCGAGCCGCTGGGCTTTGCTGTGCAGAGGGAGCCGGGTTTCTCCGATGGAAAGAAGGATAGGGACTTGAAAACTTAGCTTCTTTTGCTGGACGGAAAGCAGGTGGTCCACCGCCCCGAGCACTACCAGCACTATGACTTCGCTTATTTTGAGGCTTCCCAGCAGCTGATGAACTCTTTTTCCTATCTGACTTTACTTTTTCCAGCTGAGTGGCTCGCTTCCTTAAAAATTCAGTAGAGAACTCTGATTCAAGCTTATGGTCTTCAACGCATTTGATGATGGCTCTGATTGAATTCAGCTCCACATTTTTTGACGACTCCTGCATGATTAAACTCACTTTAATCTACAAATTTTTGCTTAAGGTTCAAAAACAAAATTCTACCCATAATCTTTTATGCTATTAAAAGATAAAAAGTGAAAGCGCATATACAGTTGCAGCTGTAGAAAATTTTCCATTCTTCAATATAGTGGTGGCATTCTTTTTGGAATTCTGCAGATAGGACTTAAGTAGAGAAACGGGAGGAAATCTTTCAGTAAGGCCAGCTGCTCTGGCAAAGTACACCGCCTCGATCTCTTTTCCATTCTTTATTAGTTCATCAATAATATCTGAAATTTCAGAAATAGTTCAATCAATGAGGTGCCATTCACTTAATTTCCCAGATAATGATGATAAGCATAACCAATACAAACAATTTGTATGATGTTTCTGGTCCCATTCACCTTTAAGTGATATCAATCACAAAATTCGCTTTTTTTTTTCTTGGAAGGGTATTCTTTTAGCCTATACTTTAGGTTAGCAAATAATCATAAAGAAAATGCCAATGACCTGATTTACTATAATAAATTGCAGGCTATATTTATCTACCTTTTAGCCCAGGTTAATAGTAATTTTTATTATCATAGATTTAGCTTTGTAGTTTAAAAGATTCTCTTTACATGAGAAGCACAGAAGCATAGATCTACAAGCTAAAGTTAGAGGAGGTAGGCAAACAATTAACATGAATATTGCGTGTGATTTGCTTCAGAAATCAGAAAAAGAACCACTTCACGACGACCAAATTGAAAAATTGAGCTTCATCTTACAAAAACATTGGCAAAGATTTGATGTTTTACATTCCAAAAGTATTTGGGTGTTGACATCCATTCTTATCATAGAGAGATGCAAGGCAGTCAAATACATATGGGTTATAATACAGCTCCTAGACATGACAAGTTCAAATGAACGATTTAAGTACAAGTAGATTCCATCAATGAATAACACATCCAGAGAAATAAACAGCATGGTGAGTCATTAGGTAAGTAAAGCCCAAAGTAAAGGTTAGGGGTACCCATGTTAAATAAAATACTCCAGAATTGCATCTTGAGACTCGTATAAATAATGTCTTAAAAACAGGATGGACTGAACAGATACATATTAATACCTACTAACACGCGTTACACAGTTTAAGGCAGACAATGATAATAACTCATGGTGTGAATATCCTTTCAGTGGCTGGTCAGAATGATGCAATCAGATTCACCAGAGATATCCACATCTATAAGCAGTAAATTGGAAAACTACAGTCATCAGAGATGAATACTAGGAGTCTAGGCCACATTATCCCAACTAGAATGCTTGATACAAATAAATTGTTGGGATGCATTTAAAAAATGACCAGTAACAATGTCGAACACAAAGCCAGCACCTAACCACATATAATTTCATCCTCAAAACATATCTATTTTCACATTTATTATCCCAAGCAAACTTAAAGCAACAAGCAAATCACAAAACTTATCACTTGAAAGCTACAAAATGAAAGGATGAAAACAAACCTCCCATTTTATTGCCAAAACCCAAAGCAGCAAAAAGCTTAGCCATGTCCCTCCTCGAGGAAAAATCCAAAACCAGTTTCCTCAAAAACCCCTCATCAAATCTCTCTTTCAACTGAAATCCAACCACCATATGCAAAAACAAAACAGCCTCCCCCGGAGTCAATCCTTCCCCTTCAATATCCAGGTGTGTCTTCCATTTCTCAACCAACTCCGCCGCCCTTTTCCCAATGCTCCTCGAAAACTCTGGCCCTTCCCCTTTCTTCTCCTTCCAACTCGCCTCGGGAAACAATGCATGAACCAACATCCCGCAAGCCCATCTCTTATCAGTTAACCCTAACGTTTTCCCGGTTTTCTGGGAAACAAAGTCTTCAAAAGCTTCTAAAACAAGCCGGTGCGGGTCGACGGTTTCGGATAAAGCGACGGAGATCTCCTCACGTAACGGAACGGATTCTTTCCGTTTCGAAACTATGAATTTAACTAACCCCGCCGAGTCCATACGGCGGGAGAGGGATTTCAACGTTTCGGAGATCTGGGTCGAGCATTTGGGGTCTCCGAATTCGGCGAGAGCGGCTGCTTTTAGGGTCTCGACGCGGGCGGCTGCTGCGGATTCGCGGTCGGGGAGGGAGGATTCTCGTTGGGAAAGGGATTCGAGGGTTTGAGCAAATGAGGAAGAAAGAGAGAGGGATTTGGAATCAAGGGATTGGGATTTTTGGGAAAGAGAATTTTGGAGGGAATCGAAATCGTTGGTCAGTTTTGTAAACAATTCGGTGCATCTGGATATGATTGCCTTTTGAGTTTCGAGGTCGTCGATGAATTTCTGAACTCTATCGGCCGTAACCGGCGGGTCGGTCGACATCGGTGATACCAAAACGGCAGCGTTTTGACGGACGTCGGAGGAGAAAAAAACTAAACACTAGCGAAGAAAATGGTCGGAATGTGGAGGGAGGTTTTAACGAGAAAGAGCATCGTCTACTATATATCTGAAAATATTATATTTATTTATTATTAGTAAAATTTTGGTAAAAATGTAAAAAAAAAATTACTGACCCTATTATCATATATAATAGGGCAAAGAGAGAGAGGATAGTATGTTGGCTCCCAACGTCAGATTTAAAGCAGTTTTCGTGGGAGACATCCGACAGTCAAAATTATAAATTGTCCACCGTGGGACTTGATCCCGACCACAAGATTAAGAGTCTTGGGCTCTTACCAACTGAGCTGGATGGATAATTTTAAAATGTAAAGTTAGCATATCTTATACACTAGGAAATGTTTCAGGAAAATCGTATTAATATAAGGTTAAAAATGGAGTGGTCAAAAATTTAATAAGATAATTAATAAATTTGGTAAATTGTTATCGAAAATATTGACAGTCGCATAATGTTGTAAGTGAAAAATATAAAAAAACTATTAAAAATTTGGTAATTGGTAAACTTTAGTTATTGGTAAGTATCGATATATATATATAAAAGTATCTATACTTACTTCAATGTAGAAAACAATAATTTAGGATTATCTTTTGAGTGAATTTTAAGATATTAATTTAGTAATTATAATCGTCTAATGATTTATTTTTATGTTGTGGTATATATTATTATTAAATTAAACATAATAAATATATATATATATATATATATATATTATAAATTTATTATTATGTTTAGTTAAAATTATTATATTTAAATTTTAAATAATATTTTATAAAAAATCTAAAAAATCAAATAATTTTTTATGTAAATGAAATTATTAATATTATATGTGAAAAATATGAAGAACTATTAGAAAAATTTGAAACATAAATTGTATAGTTTCTATCTATATACTTACTCTAAAAATATAAATATTATTTCGACAGTAAGCTATGTCCAACTATTGTTCTGAAAAAAGTATCCATACCTATATTGTATGTATCGATACTTATATTTAAAACTTAACCAATTAAAATAAAATAGACGATACCTATTATGTTAAACTACCTACCGTTTTGTTTGAAGGTTATTAATAATGTCAAGATAAAATAAAATAGGCGTTATCTATTACATTAAACTAGCTATTGATTTGTTTAAAGGTTAATAATAATGTAAAAGATAAAATAAAATAGACGTTATCTATTATGTTAAATAGTCTCTACCTATTACGTTAAATAAATCCTACCTATTACTTTAAACTAGCTATTGGTTTGTTTAAAGATTAATAATAATAATAATGTAAAAGACTCATAAGGTATTCAGTAATATATTGATAATATTGAAAATAAATTAAGTAATTAATCTATTTTGTTATCGTCAGATTTTTAATATCCCGTCAACTTCAAATAGACTCTACATATTACATTAAGTAAGCGCTACATATTATGTTATTATGGTTGATAATGTTTTCAGTAATTAACATATTTTGTTATCATCGAATTTATAAGGCCTATCAACTTAAATTTTGGTAATATTTTAGGTGCTACCTAATATGTTGATAATATTGATAACAAATTATGTAATTAACCTATTTTTTTATCGTCGAATTTCTAAGGTCTCATCAACTTTAAACAGACACTGCATATTACATTAAATAAGCGTTACTTGTTATGTTATTATGGTTGATAATGTTTCAGTAATTAACCTATTTTATCGTCGTCAGATTTCTAAAACTCCATCAGATTAAACTTTGGTAATATTTTAGGCCCTACCTAATATGTTGATAATATTGATAACAAATCAAGTAATTAACCTATTTTGTTATCGTCGGATTTTTAAGACCTCATCAGCTTTAAAAAGACGCTATATATTATATTGCATAAGTGTTATTTGTTATGTTATTATGGTTGATAATGTTTCCGGTAATTAACTTGTTATGTTAAAGTCAATATTTTTTTGATGCATTTTACATACGACGATAATATTTTCGGTTGTTAGCATTAATACTACCAACACAAATAACATTTTCGGTGAAAATATATAGCATTTCAAGTAGCATTTTTAACCGGTCACATATTTAATCAGTCATACTTTTTTTAATCGTATATTAGTCTGTCTCACAACATAACATTCCTTGTATATATTGTTAGTGAGAATCCAAAAAGTTGGCGTCGTCTTCTTTTTATTTTATTTTTTTACTTTATAATTTTAATATTAGTTGTCAATTGTTGGTGAGTATTATTATTTTTATTTTTATTATGTTTTTATATATTTTTTTAATTTTTTAATTTTAAATAAGAATATATGTTCTTGTGACACTTTTTTTTTGTTATTGTGACACGTTTTTCTTTGTTATTGTGACCCGTTTTTTCTCTTGCTCTTGTGACATGTTCTTTATGGTTTTTGATAAGTTTTTTGCATACCTCTATGGTAGTGATGTTGTTTACACAAAGATCCTCACGACATTTGTTTTTTTTATTAGTTTGTGACGATGACAAATTATCAGATCCTTCTTTGATAAAAGGTTAATTTGTCGATATAATTAAAATTATATAGCGAAATAGTTTGCCAAAATATTTGGTTCAGTCATTGCCCCTTTATCATTTTATAAAACGTCTTATTCGATAGAGACAATAAGTTTTATGAATGTTGTTGGATTTTTTTGTATTAGACGTGATTTTCAATGTAGGTTTTGTTTCTTTTTTGTATCTTCAAGTTTAATATCGGTGACTACTGTATAATTTTCTTTGAGTGCCTTATATTTTGATTCATTACATTGTTTTTATTAATGAAATACAGTTAACATACTTGAAAAAATGTTCACTTGTGTAGAGTAGCGCAGGCCGAAGCAAAACACAAATAAAACCAAAATATTCACATTGCTTTCATCTCCGTTGGCATTGATACAATCAGCTATATGTAAACCATGTTGTTCAAACCGCTTCCAGGTGGAGCATCTGTTGTAGTCTCCGCACTTGTGCTCATCATCTTCGTCGTGGTTTTAGTTACTTCACCCTCTTCAAACCCAAAGACCCAACCATCATCCTTCAATCCGTTACCCTCCAGAGCACCATCATCCAGGTGGTTCTTTCCCCGGACCCTGACATCAAGGGAAACGCCACCATTGGACTCACCGTCACGGTGGATAATCGCTTCCATCTCACCTCGATCCAAGCACAACATCAGCACATCGTCATCGTCTTCGTCTTCTCCCACAAGTTGGCCGCTTGAGCGGGGTTTTCAATTTCGCTTCGTCCACGACGTTGCATGGCAAAGTGAGCGTCTTCAACATTTTCAAGTTTAAAGCTTCATGTAGCAGAAATTGTAATATCTCTGTTTTTCTCCAAAACCAGAACGCTGATTCCGTTTGCACGTCAAAAATCAAGTTATAATTTCACCATGGATTCTGCTCTCCCACTATCGTTGGGTTTGACCCTTAAAAATTAGCACTAGAATTATTATACTAAAATTTATGTTATTAAATTGAATAATTAGTTTTCTATTTTGATATTAATAAAATAAAGTTTAAATTAAATATGATGGCCTTAGAGTGAGATTTTCAATAAACACAATTAGGACTTTTTCAAACTAAACTGGGGCTATATCTGTTACTTAGACCCTATAAGTAAGCAACAAATAACCAAATGAATCCATGAAACTGAACAATCTGCTGATGCTACAACAGATTGATGGAAAATTTCTTCATGCTATCATCATTCATCGTCGTTTCAGTCTCCCTTGTAATTTCAAAAGCTGAATCACAATCACACCTGATCGACCATCTCCTCGTCCTTCAGTCCCAATCGAAATCGGGAGTCATCCATTTAGACGATCAATCTGTCTCCAAGTTCTTAAGGTCCCCGAAAACCCCACGCCCTTACTCTCTGCTCATCTTCTTCGACGCCGTTCAACTCCGAGATAAATCCGACCTTAGCCTCCGCGATCTCAGCCAAGAGTTCGCCGTCGTCGCCTCTTCTTTCATCGCCAACCACAACTCGGCCAACCCCAAGCTCTTCTTCTGCGACATCGAGTTCCGCGAATCCAAATCTTCTTTCAACCTCTTCGGCGTCAATTCCCTTCCCAACCTCTACCTCGTCGGCCCCGCAGCCAAATCACTGAAAGATGACTCGGAACGAATGCAGCAGGCCGGCTTCACTCGATTCACCGAATCACTCGTCGATTTCATCGAGTCTAAAACTAAACTCACCGTGGGTCCCATCCACCGTCCTCCCATCATTTCGAAAACTCAAGTCGGTAGCATCCTCGGGTTTTTATTGATCTGGTCTGCGTTCGCCGCAAAAAAGGTGTTCAGCGGCGAAACCGTGTTACACAACCCTAGGATTTGGCTTTCAGGAGCCATTTTTGTTTATTTCTTCAGCGTTTCGGGAGCAATGCATACCATAATAAGGAGGATGCCGATGTTCTTGATGGACAGGGACGATCCAGACAAATTGATCTTCTTCTACCGAGGAACAGGAGTACAACTTGGATTGGAAGGGTTCGCGGCGGGTTTTCTTTACACGGTTGTGGGATTGTTGCTTGCATTTGTCTCCCATGTCCTGGTTTATGTCAAGGATCCAAAGGCGCAGCGTCTGGCTATGTTATTCTCCATCTTAGTATCTTTCTGGGCAGTCAAGCAAGTGATTTTCTTGGACAATTGGAAGACCGGATATGCCATTCATGGATTCTGGCCTTCCTCTTGGAACTAAAGCCCATCTCCTTTTAATAAAGGGTTAACTACATGGAAAATCACTTACCTCTATCTTTTGTCCGCTTTTAGTCACTTATTTCAAACAATATAAGATATGATCACTTTCATTTTTATTTAATTACGATGTGGTCACTTTCGTTTTTTATTTAATTAAGATGTGGTCACCCCGAGTTAATTACCGTTAAAAATAGTTAAATATATTGATATAATCACATATTTGGTGCCTATTATTTACATATTCTTTCAATTTAGTCATACTTTTCATAAACTCAACTCGACTAGAAAAAATTTCAAATTCAAATCGAGTTGTAAAATACAACTTGAATAACTCAAAATTTTTAGTAATTAGTGGATTGATTTTTAAGTTTGAGTTGAGTCTCTTGACTTTGTATCATAAATGTATATCACATATGAAGAAATACACATGTATTGTATACGGTTATAAAAGATCATTTAAATTGGAAAAATTATCATAACATTATAAGTATTTATAATTAAATTTAAAAAAAACTCAAAAAATTGACTAGACTCGACTCAAAAAAATTCCAAGTTAACTCTGAGTTGTAAAATAAGATTAAAATTATTTTAATTTATTAAAAGTATGATTAAATTGAGAGAATATGTAAATAATATGGATCAAATATGTGATTATATCAAAAATATTTAATTGTTGTTTGTCGCAACCGTCTTTCGGTTGTGCCCCCGGAATCGGGCTTCGACTTAAAAAATATGGATTGAAAAATAGATTGGAGTCGCCACCGATTATTTATTTAAAAATAAATAGGTTAACCGGATACCTTATTTCTTACCTGATCTGCGTCTTACCAAAGATATGTCGGATTCGGGAGTCGGTTACAGTCAAGGAAGGATTAACACCCTTGAACTGCCCTTTCGGTACTACATAATTTCCAGTTGTCTTAAATTAAGAAAATTGTAATTTAAATCAAAAGGTAAAATATCGATCCGAGTTACTTACCGTAGATTGCTTAAATTGTGCCCTTTGATAATAAAATGTTAGATAAAAAGGTCGAACCAAAAAAATAGAAAAGGGTTAAATTACAATGTTTCAAAGAATGTATACGATGAGGAATTAATTGAAATAAATAATGCAAAGAAAACAAGTTTATTAACGCAAAAAAAAAAAACATGCTAAATACGAGATTAAACCATAAAAGGACCACAAATAATGAAACAAATAAATCCCCGAAAATGGTTAAGAAATAAAATAATAAAAGGAAGTAAAGTAAAATAAAATAATAAAACAGAACGGAATAATAAAATAAATAAATATAAAGTAAAACAAAATGAAGGGGGGAATGAAAAGAAAATATGCATGTGGGATTTAAAAGATAAGTTAGAATAAGATATTTATATACATATAAAACAAGATGAAAAACAAAAAAAGGAAAGAGAATAAGAAAAAAACAAGATAATGGGCCTCTATGTCATCAACGGGAAAGATATAGTGAAGGGGAGGTTAGGAAACCAAGAGCCTAGGAAGAAGAAAAACTTAGAATGGACAAATTAGTTAGGTTATATATATATATATATATAATATGAAAAAAGTATTAATATAATAAAAGTAGGAAAGAAAGACTAAAGTAATATTTAACAATTTAAAAAAGGAAAACAAAATAAAAATAAAAAATGAAATAAAAGAAAGAAAAAACGAAATTAACAAAACAACTAAATAATTACCCCACTACCTAATAAAATAATCAACACTACATATTAAGATCACTACCTATTAAAATAATCAACACAACATATTAAAATAATCAAACCACTACCTATTAAAATAATAAACTACTACCTATAAAAATAATCAAACCACTATCTATTAAAAATAATCAACACTACATGTTAAAATAATAAACCCTACATATTAAAATAATCAACCACTACTTATCAAATCAAACCCACCATCAAAAATATATATATATATATATATAAAATATAATATAATAATAAATAAAAAAATATATGTAATAATAATAAACGAAATATAAAATAAAATAAAATTAAATTAAAATATGAACTGAAGGGCTAAATTGAAAATTAACACGAATTAAGTGTTCGAATTAAAAAAAAAATCAGAAATGTAGATCGATTTACAACGAAGTTGGGACCAGAATAGAAGTTTTCAAAATGACATTGACCAAAGCAGAGTTTCCCATTTTTTTACGAAAACACGCGGGTCTAGGGGTTATGGACCGGGTTGGGCGGTCCGATGGGTTCAATATTTAAGTTAAAAAAATTTTTAGCTTTCATAATCTCTCATTCTCAAAACAGAGAACCCTCATCTTCATTCGTTTTTCTCTCTAATGTTCTTCACAAATGAAGAACATGAACAAGCTTTCCAGAATCCGGCCGTAGGCCGCCCTTGCGCCACCTCGCCGCCGTCGTTGGTCGGCGACGGCCGTCGATCATCGGCGGCAAAAATATTTTCTTGTTACTTTTTCGAAAGCTTTTCTTCTCTAGTTTTCAAAAATCAAAATATTTCTTTGAAAACAAAGAAGCCTCGGGGTAGATCTGAGATCGAAAGTTTGAAAGATCCACCCCTCTGTCATCGGCCAAAAACGGTTTCTTGTTATCGTTTCCGAGTTATGTTTTCAGCAACGTTCAACATGTAAGCAAAAGAAACGAACGAACAAAGGTAAGAAAGAAAAAAATGCTACCTTTTTATTGTCTCTTTCGAAAATCTTTACAAGGGTTTGGATCTTCTTGGCTATTATGTGGGAGTGATTGCTACACAGTGAACTCGTGTGTGAATCCAGTGTAATCCGTGTTTTTTGTGTGTGTTGATTACAGCTTATTTATAATCTAGAAAAAAACCTATTTTTTTAGAGTTCTAATATGATTACAACACTGATTCTTTGTTATCTTCGTGAGTTGTTGGCGAGATTGGTGTTGCAACTACTGAGCAAGGGAAACGTGAAGGACAAGGAGTCTTCGACGTGGAGGAGTCTGTAGAGGAAACGACGCTGCTGGTGAGGGTGTGCTAGGGCTTCCTGATGGTTTGCTGCTGCTGGGCCATCTGGGCTGCTGAAGATGGGCCACAGTTAGGCCTAACGAATTGTAAAGGCCTGTTACAGAAATGTAAATGTATTAGTTTTGAAATAATAATATTCATATATTATATATAAAATGTGTGTCTACATTGTTAATGACAGTTAACTCGGGATGACCACATCTTAATTAAATAAAAACGAAAGTGATCGTATCTCATGTTTTTTTAAATCAGTGACCAAAAGTGGACAAAACATAAATGAAAGTAGTTTTCCATGTAGTTAACTCTTTAATAAATTATAGACTCATAAAATTATTTTATTTTATTAAATATTATCAATATTAGTTATATATTTATTTATGTTGTTGCATTAACTATTTAAAATATATATCATCACATATTTCTCTCATATCATATATAACTAATTTATAAACACCAAAAGTTACTACGTATATATACGAGGATAAATATAAAAAATACATAATTTCTACATACCAATTGCATGCTATGTCATGATCCAAATACGTAGGAGTAAGTTTGATCATCATATATATATAGGTAGGAAAGGAATTGAGATTAAATAATGAAAATAACCAAATGTTTAATTCTAAGTTATTAAACTAATAAATATCTAAATCAAAATTTAGTAAGATTGTGCTTAATTTTAATATGGTTTAGATTACGGTAAAGAAGATGATTAAAATGAATTAAAATGGGATAGTTCAAGTGGTAAATAATTTGATATCCTATCAGTAAAGTCTCAATTTCGAATAAAATTAGGTGTCCACCGCAAATTGATCCGGATTAACTCAAGCAAATCCTTGAAATAGGAAATACAACAAAAAAATAATAATGAAGACTTGTGGTTCACCCTTTAATTAGGCGCATCTCCATGAAACCATGCATGCATTAGGAAGATTAAAAAGAAAACCCATCACCCACATATAAGGGGATAGATTGAGATGTTGCTCTTTCGTACTGGAGTGGAATCATGATGGCAGAAGCTATCGGTTTATTAAAGCAGACGATGCTTTTGGAGGGCTCTCAACTCTCAAATAAGCACCCATTGCCCAACCTTCGAAGATAAACCAAATGCTTATTCCTCTTTGTGCTTATACCTTCCTTTCCTTCCTCTAAACAATCACACCATAAAATATTCTTTGCTTTTCAAGCTCTTTCACACGGCAACACAATAAATCACCCCAGAGTGAAAGGCCGGCCAAAAAAATGTGCTATGCAAACATAGCTTGTGCTGCCAAACGGGACGAAGATGGTTGCTTTTTGCAGGTGGCTGCTGAGCTACATGCACCAACGACTCGGGTGGCAAGGCAGATCAGGTTCGATGAAGCAGTGCATTTGTTCAACTACGAAGCACCCAGGGTCATTTCGGTGTAGGCACCACCATGCGGAATACGTGTGGGGTGGTCGATTCGTCGCTAAAAAGTAACTGAACTGCTATGTACGAGTAGTTGTAAGGTCTTAAAAAATTTGTAAAAAAGGGTTTGAAGAATGTGTGGCCTATGGTTGGGCAAATTAAAACGCTTTCTTAAATGGCTTGTCTTAATGTAAGATTTCAATATTTCAATGTAAAAAGAAGCTGTACAAAATCAAGGTAATGAGTTTCAGATTTTACCAGTTACGATCCACTCACAAGTAAGGAAAATTAACAACCTAGGCTTTTGGCCTTATTCCACTGTTCAAAAAGCTGTCAAAAGTTGATTCCTCGCCTCAGCAGCAGTCCTGACGAATAATTGTATGGTTTTTCATATTTACAAACGCCCCGCATAATACTTTTGCCTGAAACACAAATATAATGGAAGTTGGATTAGTAATACTTAGCTTTACTTCCGTTCCGGTCAATTAATCAACCAACCTGTGAACCATTTTCTTGAAATTTGGGTCAAATCATAGGCTTGCTTTGTGATTTCAGCATATCCAAAAATTCCTCTACTTAGTAGCATGAGAGCTCCTTCATAAGTGGTTAATAT